CTGCCTGGAGACGCCCGGGCCGGCTTAGCCCTAGCCGTGTCCCCCGCCGCGCGACGCCGCGGATTGGCCGGCGGTAATTACGGGCACGCTCCGGGAGGGGGGAGGGACGGGGGGCGGCCTCCCGCGAGCATAAATTATGCAAATACCCGGGCGCCGCACGGGGCCGACCTGCCGCCTGGTTTCATTCACCAGGGCTGCCGCGGGGGCGGAGGTGGCAAGGGAGGGGCGCCCATTGTTGTGGCGGGTACTTAAGGGGTCCTGAGGCCGGTCGTGTGCCACACTCGGTGCTCACACGAGCTGATCTGATTGCTGGCGACATCACTCGGGAGACCGAGCCGGGCGCGTGGCCCCTGCAGGCGAGGCGAGGAGGCGAGGCCAAGTTGCCCGTGCGTCCCTGCGCCCTTCCAGTTCCCCGTGCCCGCAGCGGCCACAGAGTAACCTCGGGCCGTTCGGCCGTTCGGAACGTAAGTCTGCCCCAGCGGCCCTGTCCTCAGCCCGGGCTCCTAACCTCTATAAGCACTCTCGGTCCATCCGTCGGTTCTGCACAGCGCAAAGATGCCAGCGCCTCTAGAGACCTGCCTCTCCGACCTTGACTGCCCCAGCAGCAGCAGCGACCTGTCCGGCTTCCTCACCGAAGAGGAGGACTGTGCCAGGCTCCAACCTCCAGCCTCCGCCTCGGGACCACCTGCACCGGCCTGCAGGGGCGCGCCCGGGATCTCCGGGGAGTCCGATGTTCCAGGGGCGCAGGACGACGAGCAGGAGCGGCGGCGGCGCCGGGGCCGGGCGCGGGTGCGCTCCGAGGCGCTGCTGCACTCCCTGCGCAGGAGCCGGCGCGTCAAGGCCAACGATCGCGAGCGCAACCGCATGCACAACTTGAACGCGGCGCTGGATGCACTGCGCAGCGTACTGCCCTCCTTCCCCGACGACACCAAGCTCACCAAGATCGAGACGCTGCGCTTCGCCTACAACTACATCTGGGCTCTGGCCGAGACACTGCGCTTGGCCGATCAAGGGCTGCCCGGGGGCGGTGCCCGGGAGCGCCTCCTGCCACCGCAGTGCGCCCCGTGCTTACCCGGGCCCCCGAGCCCCACCAGTGACGCCGAGTCCTGGGGCTCCGGTGCTGCCGCCTCCCCCTGCGCCGCCGCTCCCTCGCCACTCTCTGACCCCAGTAGTCCCGCCGCCTCCGAAGACTACGCCTATGGCCCAAGCGATCCCCTTTTCTCTTTCCCAGGCCTGCCCAAAGACTTGCTGCACACGACGCCCTGTTTCATCCCTTACCACTAGGCCCTTTGTAGACACCGTTACCTTCCCCTCCCCCATTCAACTGGCAAGAGATGGGGCCCCAGCTGCGGCCTTCGGATCCCCACTCCAGGCGAAGGGAGGAAGCGGGAGCTTTAAAGGGGTGGGGGATACCTGAGCCGCTTGTCAGGTCGCTGCACTCTCGCTGCGGCTGCCCCTTGGTCTGTTTCTCCAGCCCTCAGCCCCGGGCCCCTCCTACCCGCCCCGAGACGGCTTTTCCTTTTGCACTTTCTGAACTCCACAAAACCTCCTTTGTGGCTGGCTCAGAACTGACCCCAGCCACCACTTCAGTGTGATTTAGAAAAGGAACAGATCAGCCCCTGAAGACGAGGTGAAAAGTCAATTTTACAATTTGTAGAACTCTAATGAAGAAAAACGAGCATGAAAATTCGGTTTGAGCCGGCTGACAATACAATGGAAAGGCTTAAAAAGGAGAGACAAGGAGTTGGCTTCATGCATTATGGATCCCGGCCCCCACCACTGCAGGCTCGCTCTAGGAAGAACCCGAGACTCTTGCGTAGCTATTCAGGCATTGGGCTGGAGAGTACTTTAATTTATTCAAGATGCTTCATTCATATGAAAATGTATTTTTTACATAAAGAGTTTATTCTATTATTATGAGCTTTCAAAGTTTACATTTTTGTACTGCAGATGCTTCGTGTAAATAAAAACTAAAAAATAAGTCACCAAGTTTCTTGCCTAATGTTAGTGTCTCTGGGGCTTTTCTTCCCTTCTCTTGGTGGCCCAACGACTAAAGTGAAACACTATCCCCGCCCCACCTCCAAACCCTCCAGTCCTGTTTCAAAAACAATTTAAGAATAAAATGCACCTGATTTCCACCAAGAAACGGGTAAGGGCAGACTAGAGCATTTGGGATCCATCATTCCCTTTCACCTTGTTAACACAAGGGAGATCTTTCAGGCTCCCCATAAGCCAATTAAGACTTTTTAGTGAGGAATTAGCGCCGGACACGCAGCTACCTGTAGAAGTAGGGGCAGTGGGAGAGTATTTCTTTTGACAAACTCCACATCAGCTGGCTCTGTGTTTCAAAAAGAGGGGATTAAAAAGATCAATACAGTGTGACTACTGGTTAGGAAGTCCCAGTGACAGGTGGGCCTAGGCTGGGCAAGCAGAAGGGTCCACTCTTAAAACAGCCTATTTAGAGGGGAAATTGATTTGTAAACAATGCCTCCAAATTGTTGTCTATTGAGGCTGGGTTCACCCTGGCTGTGAGGTGTGGGATGAATTATGCTGGTATGGTGTCCCTGAGTGGGGTGTGCAGCTGCCTGAAATTGTGAGCTAGGGTGCCTCCCCCCCCCCACACACACACACATTTACACCCACTGTGGCCCACAGTGGGGGGAGGGGCACACGCAGAGGGTGGGCGGGGTGCCCCGCTTGCTCTGCCAGTCCTCAGGGCCAATAGCCAAAGCTTTCCTTTACTGCCAGAGAAATCAGCCGCCCAAGCTCAGTGGGGATTTTTCTGGCTCCGGTATGTTTGTCTGTTGTCTGACAATTATCTAACAGCACCCGCCAGAAGCAGCTTTTATTTTAAAATTTAGAATGTGGATAATTAGAAGATATAGTTCCTAAAATGCCATCACTGTCTGTTTCCCCAGCTCACAAGTTACCCCACATTAAGACCCCAATTTTTTTTGCAATGGGCTGCCCCTTTTCATGGATATAGTTATTTAGTGGTGGGGGGTGGGGAGAGGGAATGAATTCAGAAAAATGGTATTCTGTATTGTTAGAGAAATTATATCCGTTTAGGAGGTGAATAGAAGTTGAGGGCCAGAGTAAGGCCACTGATACCATGCTCCCCTGTGGAAGCGTTTTCCCTCCATCCTAGTGAGTTGGGTCCATAGACTGATACCTGGGTCTCCGGCAGACATTGCTGAGTCTAGCCACGGGCAAGGCGCCCTCCTTCAGATAAAAAGTCTCCTTTGTGGAAGGTTCTGGAAAGTTGGATGCCTTCTCAAATTGGCCCCAGAGCAGAGGCAAAAAGTCCTCCAAGAAAAGCTTCAGAAGTTGTGAAGGCTGAGGACAGAATCACTTCTGCTAAAAGCTGTAAGGAAAAAGTTTTGTCTGTAGAAGGACTCAGCCCAGGGCCCACTCTATTGTCTTTCTCAGAATTAATTCACTCTACCAGTTTTGCGTCTTCCTAGAGCAAAAGACACAAATGGGCGGCATCAGATTTTCTGCTCTCCCATGCATAGGATGCTTAGAAGTAACTTCTGCTAGCTTTCTAAGGGGCTCAGATTGGGTCTGAGAGAAGGGTGATCCCCTATGGAGACTCTTGTGATATAGATGCATGTGTCTGAGACAGAGAAAAAAAACAGCAGAGTGTGTTTATCATCATCCAGAATCCTTGGGAAAAGCACCAGCAAACAGCTGGAGTAGGAGCTTTGTCTCATACAGCTGCATTGAGCCCGCATGAAAACAGGGGGAAACACTACCACCAAGACTGAAGAATAGCAAACCGTATTCTCAATTTTGTTGCCACAATAGGTTCACAACTCATTCACAACTGAAGGTGCAGGACCCCAGAGCACCTTGCTATAAAGATGTCTTTAACAATATCGTTTGCTGGGGGGCATCTCCACCCCTGCCAGTTAATACTATTCTTCTAAGGAAGCAAGGATGTATGTGCAGCCCTTGGGGCTCTCAAAAAAGAGAAAAGAAAGAAGGTGATTCAAAATGCTTATCCCCAGCTCAGGGGTCTTTTTCTTCCTGCAGCAAACTCTCATTCATCCACTGGTGTCTGTAAAGGCAGGGCAGGGCTTACCACAATATTCTAATCAATTATAGAGCATGGAACTTTCCACTGACAGCCACGTTTCACTATCCTCAGCATAATCTTCCACTGAGGAACTAGCTGGCACTTCAGAAGGCTTATTTATGATCTACCTTGATCTTTTAATTTGTTTTTGTCCTGGTATAACATGTATTTTTATATACTACTTCCAAGCCTTTGAGAAACCAAGAAAGGGAAGATTAGGATGAAATAGTAAAATGAAGATTTGACTCATTCTTTCATTTCTCTAATGATTATTTATCAAGCCCCTGCCAGGTACTGAGCACCTTCCTAGGCACCAGTGTGACCAAGACAGACAAAGTCTTTGCCTAAAGGAGCTTACACTGTAGTGGAGAAAGACAAAATAAATGTATGAAAGATTGTGGTAAGTGCTGAGGAGAAGAAACACCCTGAGGAGAAGAAAGTAAAATATGGGGGAATATGAATGCCAGGGTGGGGGAAAGATTGCTTTTTAAGAAAAGATGGTCAGGGAAGGACTTTTAATGCAGTGGCATTTGAGCCTGAATAGAGAGAGGAAGGGAGCAAGCCTTGCCAATACCTGGGGGGGAAGCACCCCAGGGAGAAGGCACAGCAAGGAGAATGCTGTGGCCATGCACAGGAGTCAGGGGGCAGCACGGAAGCTGATGTGGCTTAAGCAGAGGGCACGGGGGACAAGGATTGATAGAAAGATGTGGGGAGAGGGGAATCACTGCAAATCACGTGAGCCTGTAAACTATTATAAGGGCGGTAGGTTTTTCTCAAGGGGATTGGAGGGTTGAAAGCAAAGGAGTATTATGAGTTGACATATTTTTAAAGACCACGTGGGTTTTTACATGGATGATAAACTGTAAGGGCCAGGGCAGAATTTGGGACCCAACTAAGCATGTACAGATTAGTCCTAAAGAAGGGCATATATGGTAAAACTGAGTAAAAAAAAAAAAAAAAAAAAAAAATTAAAAAAAAAAAAAAACAATTATATAAAAAAAATTAAATAACATAATTACAAAGATGGGAAACA